AAATGAGGACAATAAAAGCAGTCAAAACTAACAAAAGAGCAACAATATATAAGTGCAAACGACACGTCTCGGTTAGCCTAACGCAGTACACGTAGCAAGGTGTATATATATATTTATACAACAGTTCGTTCTGGTTCTCAAATCTGATTGGTTGAGAACCGTGAGATATTGTACTGGTATCGCTACAGGAACGCTTTTTCACAATTTTGTATCAATCCGCTTGTTCTAGCCGGGTCTATGTTTTTTTAATTAATTAACTGAGCGAAGAATACGGTAGGTTATTTAATATAAGACGTCTAGCTTTGCGGTCTCTCTCTCTCTCTCATTCGGATGCACGTCTTGCCGCATTGTTTCTCTCTTATAACCTCATTATTTCGCTTTATTTGACAACTTGTGGACTGTTCAACTGCAACATCCGCTGACTGCAATGATAGAGCTTGGAATAGCCAGGACAATTTTTTATATAACTCCGACTGGATTCGTCTGAAAGAAGAAAGTCATGTACACCTAGGATGCCTCGAGGGTGAGTAAAACACAAGCCAATTTTCATTTTTGGGTGAACTAACCCTTTAAGAAGGAAAGTTCCCACTTTGTATGTCGTGCATTAAGCATTTATGAAAATTAATAGTAAATTCCAGTAAGTGCCAGTAATCTAAATAAAATTTATTAAAATTAGCATAGAACATAAATAATTAAAAACAGAGGTAACATACGTATGAACTGAAGTACATAAGTGTATCATGAAAAAGTTGTATAAAAATAAAGCATATATCTTTATGCACTGCTATTAAAACTATAGATGAAAACAAAAACATCTTCTCTGTTCTTGTTCAATAAGGAGAAAAATCTTCATGATCCTGTATACACACACTCTGTGAAAAAAATACGTAAAATTACATAAGATCACATAAGTTCAGGACATCTATCCTCAAAATTAAATTCAGCATGAAATTGAATCATTATATACTTCGCGGTCTCTTTCTCTCTCATTTGGATGCACGTCTTGCCGCATTGTTTCTTTGTTATAACCTCATTATTTCTCACTAATAACCTAACTGAAGCAGCACATGCCCTTGATACGAATTCTAAAAGTGACGCATGTTTAACTGTCAACTTGAGCTTTGAATCCGTGGCGGAAGGAAGTAGTTCCGCACAAAAGAGGGTTTTATTAGGCACTCCGTTGTTTCTTGTTTAATTACACACGTTCCGTCGAACTAGTATAAAGATGTGCAATGAACTGCATTAAATAATTGTCATTTCATTTGTATGATTTCTAGTTAGTTTTGTTATGATCAAACAGAACTGTAAAACTGTATACATAAAGTGTCTAAGTGAAACATGCCATACTTACCTTTATAATAGGTTGTTGTAGATGGGGAAAAGAGGGTTATCTCGCTCACAGTGAAGTTTACGAGCCCTCAAAACATCCCGCACACACTGATGGATATAAGCATACTGAGACTGCAGAAGAGAAGTCCATCATATTAGGGTGCTTATAAACCAATTCACACATTTCATTAAACCTACAGAGGCAAAATAGAGGAACTACATATTTAGGCAATTGATTTCTAACTGAAATTGGGCATTTTAAAGCCCATTCATGCCAAAGTCGATAACTCTTATTTTATGAGAATAGGGAAGTCCACACTACAACTATAATGATAATGACACAGAAAATCATTTAAAAAGCCATTTTTCTCAATTACTGTGTCTTGTCTGTGTAGGATAGCAGCACTTTAGATGAACTTCTGTTCAACTGGAATTATTTCATTAAGCAATGCCAATCTGACACCAATATAAATGTTGCTATACAGACAGACTCATACCTCCGTTTGTACCATGTATGAGCGATGCAGGCGTAGATCAAACACACATCCATAAATGTCCACTGTGCAGTTCCTGTCCAGTTGCTCTAAAACACGATCCAGCACAATGAAAGTGCCAGTTCGGCCCACACCAGCACTGAGACAGAGAAAATCATATCCAGTGTAAATATCCATGTGAACATCCTGAAATGTTCTTCAAAGATGTTTAGATGATACACAGATACCTGCAGTGTACTACAGTGACTCCTGGACTAGTTGTCCTGTCAATGTAATCTCTGACTGTTCGCACAAACTGAACGAGTGATTGGGTTGTTTCCGGTACACCGTGATCTGGCCAAATGGTGTAATGGAACTGACGCACAGTCCTGGGGTATCTCAACTGACCCTCCTGAAAAAAGACTTTGCATCATGTCGTCTCATCTTATAAAATACTACTAGTTGCTATTTTATTCATTCATTCAGTCAGTCATAAACTTTATTTCTTCATATATGTGAGCCTGGACCACAAAACCAGTCATAAGTCGCTGGGGTATATTTGTAGCAATAGCCAACAATACATTGTATGGGTCAAAATGATTGATTTTTCTTTTATGCCAAAAATCATTAGGATATTAGTAAAGCTCATGTTCCATGAAAATATTTAGTAAATTACCTACCGTAAATATATCAAAACTTAATTTTTGATTAGTAATATGCATTGCTAAGAACTTCATTTGGACAACTTTAAAGGCGATTTTCTCAATATTTTGCACCCTCAGATTCCAGATATTCAAATAGTTTTTATCTCAGCCAAATATTGTCCTACCCTAAAAAAAAAACATAAATCAATGGAAAGCTTATTTCAGATGACGTATAAATCTGACCCTTATGACTGGTTTTGTGGTCCAGGGTCACATATACTTACAAGAGTTTCTGTACCACTAAATTACAAAGTTGCAAAAATACGTTTCAAAACCGGTTTCCCAAACTGCTGAATCTTGCAAAGAAATGTCCAGGTCATATTTTACCCCAAAAAGAGAAGCAAAGAAACAAAAAATACAAATTTTGCATGAAAATGAAGCCAACAGTCATTATGGAGTAAAATATGACCCAACATGTTTTTACAATTTACAATTAAAAATAGATACCTTTAAGAAATAAATAATTTAGCTTATAGTAATAAATACCTTTAAAGTTCACCTTTAAGTATTAAATATTTGTATTTCCTATCAATATATCTATTTATTTGACACTTACACATGATATCTTGAAGTCCCGAATGGTCCACTCTGGGAGGATCTTCTCAGAAAGCAGTTGCACGACAACCTCGCCATAATACAAAGGCTCACTGTCAACTGGCCAGTATCGATCACACTTCACCTGAATCATATACATATCCACAAAAGTCTAACATGAGACCAGCACACATCACCAGAAAAACAGCACTAGAAACCTCTACACTCACCATGCCCCTCTCCACACACTGGGTCACCATTACAAGGCTGTGCACGTTTTGTTCCCACACCATGCGCCAGAAATCATCCTTGGTACCTGGGAGAGGCCCTTGTGTGGCAATATACACCCATCTGAAATTGTTTCCCTGTTAAACAGACACAGAAATACTTTTGAGTCTGAGGACAAAAAGGACCATTGACTGCTCTGAGGCTTGTGTGGTGTTCATGAACAGGGTACAAATATTTCATTTATAATGAATTTGGTAATAAACTGTCAGTAAAGCAGTTGCTTGACCATACTGTAAATGTTGACTGACAACCTCAGAAGGACAAACTAAATATTATACGATCAGTTTTATTTGACATTTTCTAATTATTTTGTAGGTTTTGCAGTTATTAAGCCCTGTCACCAAAATTTAAGACATCTGAATACAGTGTAAAGCCTTGATGTGGGCAGTTAAGTTTTGAGTAAACACTAAAGTAAAATAAACACACACAAATCTATTACATATTGAGTAACAGGGTTAAACTAAAGCAATAAGCCCCAAGCTTATATAACTGTGAAAAAGGAAACTTATAAAACGGATAGTTCCGGTCCTTGATTCTGATTGGTTGAGCCGCATTCGAAGCGGTCGTAAATTACACTACAAACATATACCTTTGTTTACTTCTGTGTGACCTTAAGTTTTCACAGAATAAACCTTAAGGTTTCACAGAATAAAACAGAGCAAATAAAGTGTAATGATATAAATAAAAACAGTATTCTTCCACCAAACAATGTAGTTCCTCAGAAACAGTCGTGGTTCCAACAAAGTGGTTGCCAAGCAACACACAGAAGTAAACAAAGGTATATGTTTGTAGTGTAATTTACAACCAATCAGAATCAAGGACCGGAACTATCCGTTTTATAAGTTTCCCTTTTCACAGTTATATAAGCTGTCAGATGGTTATAGATGTTTTGTGACTAATCATGTAATCATTGCTAAATTTATATTTCATGTAAATTTGGAAGGAAAAATATTTATTTGATCCTTTTTTCATACAGTAACTCATAGGGTGAAATGGTTGAACTTGATGAATGCAGGTAATGCAACAGTGTGTGTAAAATGGAATGACCCTACTTGGTAACACTTTAGAATAGGGGTCCAGAATAATGCATTAGTTAAGCATTAATTAATGTTTAACTTGTTCACAATTAAGCATTAGTTGAGCACAAACACACTAGTAATTAATGATTAACTTACCATTTAGGGAGCTCAGATATTAATGTGGATATAACTTTCACTTTAGAATAGGGGGTCAAATTGCCTTTATTAGTACTGTATTAATGGCAGTTAAGCCATAATTATTGGCTTATTTAAGCAGTAATTAAATATAATTACTAGCTTATTGTTCAGTCAACTTAATAAATGGTGAATTATAGAAATATATTTACATCACTACACACAAATAATATATGGCTTATTAAGTTGTAAATAATGGCTCAAATGTGTTTACTGTACATTCAGTTAATTATTAATTACTAGCTTATTTTTGTTTATTGATAGCATAAATTTGTGTCTATAAAATGTTTAATAAATTGTAAACAATGGCTAATATACCCTTATTATTTGTTCAGTTAATCATTAATTAAGTGTGTGGTCATGCTTATCTAATGCATTATTGTGAACAAGTTAATCATTAACTACTACTTTATTTATGCTTAACTAATGCATAATCTGAGTTCCCTAAATGGTAAGTTAATCATTAATTACTAGTGTGTTTGTGCTCAACTAATGCTTAATTGTGAACAAGTTAACCATTAATTAATGCTTAACTAATGCATTATTCTGGATCCCTATTCTAAAGTGTTACCGATTACTTTTCTTCACGTCATTGTTGTAGAAATGGAATCAATTGTCACTTGCTGTTTGTAACAACTTTAAGGAATGTTATATTACAACATGTGGTAATATAATGATTTTTTTGTTTTGTTTTGTTTCCCAATGAAAACCAGTGGGGTCCACTGTTGTTTTGGACCTCACTTATTTTCACTCTGTGGTCAAAAAAAAGAAAGAAAAAAGAAAGATTGTTCATAATATCTTTGTGTTCCACTGAAGAAAAAACATCAGACAGATTTGAAACAACATGAGGGTAAGATTCACACCAAAAGTAATGAATTGAGATCACATGGCTAGATGAGTGATGAGTACTACTACTCACTTTATCTTAGTAACCTCACTATTATCAGACACCCTCAGTCATGCAATACAGTAAATTAATCATGGGCGACAGCAGGGACATCACTAGACATAAGCCTCTTTTTGGGGGTCGGGTTTTACTCTTTTTCTTAATTGTTGCTCAAAATAAATGATTCAAAAGATTCAGACACATTGAAAATATTAAACAGTATCAATGGGGCCAAACTAAATAATCTAAATATGTAGAATAGAGAACTCAGCAGCCTCCCATAGGTCCTAGTTCTGAAGTTTAAGATATGATGGATTGATCTACGAAAAAAATGACAGATAAAATATATTGACTAATGTTTAATATATTTGAATATTTTACGTTGGTTTAGTGACTAGTGACATCCCTGTCATTGAATATCACATTTCTATGATCAGCAACCAAGACACTTGTATTTGTATGAAGCTGCGTTCAGGTGTCAGTATAAATTCCACAACCTCCATGAACCTCCATTTTTAACTTTTACACCACACAACCCACAATTCCACCCAGTTTTTAGCCAATGAACAATCAAATGAAGAACATATGTTCAACTTACAGGTATGTAGTTAGCATTGATGTAGTCTGAATAGGGGTCATCCTCCAAGCAAGACAGTCTTACCCGCGTTGAGTCGTCTGTAGTTAAAACATTTTAGAATCAAGCTGCTTTGCATTATGGGCAATTGCAGAGTGAAAATGACCCCATAGCAACTATACTGTAACTACACTGGTATAATCAGTTTGAATGCTGATACCATATTGATGTGAAAATAATTATATCATGGCAAGTAAATATACTTTTGAGATGTAAATGTATAATACTTGTATTTTACTTACAATATAATTTGTCTCTACTTACAGGGCAGTATATTGTTGTAGCGATTTTTGCTTCGGTTGCCAAGTAGACGTGCAGCATTCTGAGTTTGGGTCCGTCCCACGTCTTTTAGGCCCTTTTCAGCATTGGGTAAATTGAGGCAATAATCAGTAATGCATTCAAATTATAAAGTTCAGCTTGTTTGCTGATAAATAGTCTATTTAGATTAGAGCAAAGTGGAATGATGAAACATAAAGTGGAACATTCCATGGAATGACTATTGTTCAATCGCTGCTTTGATAGACTTAGATATTTAGTGTTTCATTTTCGTTATATGCTTTCGTTATATAGAGCCTAGATATATCAGTATTGCCTCTCATATTCTCATGTACCCACTGGCTGATCTCTTTAATATGTCATTATAGTCTAGTGAGCTACCAGCTATTTGGATGTACTCCCGTATTACTCCATGTGACGAGAGGGGCGGGGCCGAGAGCCGTGGGAACGGAGCGAGGCCGGTGGAGTGATTGCTAATGAGGGACACCTGCACCCACTCACCGGTCTCGAGTCTCACGGAGGAGCTCCGGAAGGATAAAAAGGAGGAGGGACGACAGTGAAAGACGAGAGAGGACCAGGCCTGGAGTTTATTTTGTGTTTTGGTTTCGTTTGTGCGCGGCAGTCGTCCGCGAGGGGCTGTCGCGCTATTTTGTGTTTATTTTATTATTAAAGATGTCATTGAGTGTTCGCCGGTTCCCGCCTCCTTCTTCCCGAACTACGAACGTTGTTACATTCCAATTCATAAAGGAGGTGATATTATTGATCCACAAAATTATAGACCAATATTGATCATTTGTGTTATTGCCAAACTATTTGAAAAATTGATTTATAATCAGGTATCAGAGTATCTTGAAAATAATAATATTCTATCACCGTTTCAATCTGGATTATTCGACAACTAGTGCTCTTCTAAAGATGACTAATGATGTATATTCAGCATTAGATAGTGGTGACCTTACAGGGGCTATTTTTATCGATCTTAAGAAGGCCTTTGATCTAGTTGATCATTACCTGTTATTAGATAAGTTGTATGTTGGTTTTTCTCAAAATTCTTTATTGTGGTTTAATTATTATTTACATAACAGAAAACAATGTGTGGTTATCCAAGAGAAACACTCTGATTTATTTATTCAAGAAAGAGGGGTACCACAGGGCTCAATATTGGGTCCTCTTCTTTTTTCCATTTTTATAAATGATCTTCCCTTTGTCATTTATATTTCAAATCCTCATTTAACTCAAATTCAAAATATGCTTCAATCAGATTTTAAAGCTTTACAAGAATGGCTCCATTCTAATAATTTACTACTTAACAAAGGTAAATCTCATACCATGGTCTTTGTTACAAAGTGTATATTTAAATCAAAATCTAATAATCTAAAAATGATGTGTAATGATGGTACATACTTGCACAGAGTGGATCAAATTAAATATCTGGGCTTATGGCTGAATCCAAAACTTCCTTTTAAACCTCACATTGACTATATATTTCGTAAGATTAATTTTGGAACCAGTGTACTGTATCGATAAAAAAAAAAAGTTTTTCTTTTAATGTTCGAAAAAAAACTTGCTTTACAAATTATATTACTGTTTTTTTTTTGACTATGCTGATGTAGTTTATCAGAATACAACTAAAACTAATCTTCTGCCTCTTACTACAGATTATAATTAATTGTGTAGATTTGTTATTGGGTGTTCATATGATATTGCATTATGTATGATTTACTTAAATGGTTTCCACTCAATATCAGAAGGCAAATTCACTGGTTGCAATTTATCTTCAAATGTATACATTTGAACTATCCTAATTATTCGCGTCAATATTTGATATTATATTCTTCTATATATCAATTAAGACACTGTGCAAATTACTTTTTCTTTTTTTTTTAGTTAAGAAAGTGTTTGGGAAAAATACATTTAGGTATAAGGCTCCTGCAGATTGGAATAATCTACCTTTAAATGTACGATCTTTGACTTCATTATATATGTTCAGAAATTGTTTGTTTTCTTGTTTTGAAACTACTTGTAATTGCTTTAGAAGATATATCTATGTTTATATGTGCTAGGTAAATATAAGAAGGAAAAAAAATAATATTGCATGGCCGCTTAGAACTTCCGTAGTAGGGTGTGTTGTTTTGATGTTTTTATTGTTGTGATTGTTTGCTTTTTTGGTGTTCTGTTTTCTAATTTTTGTGTAATAGGACCCCCTTCAAAACAAGATGATGCATCTCAAGGGGTTTATCCCAAATAATACATTTGTTGATATGCAGTGCATTACCTCAAACTCTTCAGACAGAAGGTAACTGCAATCAGTTTGAAGTTTAGCAAGATGAGACTCAAAGTGGACTGCTTGGACTGGGCTAGTACATAGCAGAAATTCTAAATCAATAACATCAATGCTTATAATAATAAATGGTTCAAATAAATGCTACATTAAATCATTAATGAACAAGCATGTTTTTGAGGACTTTAGACTCAGTCTGTACTTTACAAAATATGGTTTATAAATATTAATATTATTTATTTTCCTCTGTCATCAGTATAAAGAGAAATGAAGTGTTGTGGTACCTCCTTATGCCTGAGCACATCTGTGAGGTAGGCAGCGCCTTCCACATGCACATTTTCATTACAGGACTTTCCTTCACGGCTCTTGAAGAACACATACAAATAAAGATCAGCACAGTAACAAACACTGTGTGTTAAAAAATGTGTATGTACTCACATTTTGTGAGCCCTCTTTCTGTAAATGAGTAAGGCGGTCACAGCGAGCACCATGGCGACTAGAAACGTAGCAGCTGTGATTCCTCCCGTGAGTCCATTTCGTGGCGCTGAATGACAAAAACAGTGAGAAAAATTACACTATTTAATAAAAAAAAATAGGTTTGAGTCATGGTACAGTGGTAGTACACATGGGGAACAAAATGTGTCATGTTCTCATCCCAACAACCGTAAACTCAACTGTCCTATTGATTCTTCACACTAAAAAACAACAGTGTTTTACCTGATTGAGTCGTTAATGGGAGGGAAAGGTATGTGTCGGTGTAAAGGGGATGCACACATTCTCTGTTCTCTTCATCAAGCAGCTGAGTGAAGGCACGAACACTTAATCTGAGACAGTAAAGTGTGAATATTCAGAATTACACATCTTAAACCCAAGTTGAAACAATTATTTTAGGTAAAAATGAAAATTCTTCCATTTTCTCATGTTCATATCATATATAATATTTTAATGATATTTTAATGTAATCACGTTTGGGTCATTTTTAGAGCTTGAGAGGACCCATCAACATTCTTTTTTACTGTACGAAAAAGAGCACCATGAACATTATGCCAAACATCTCCTGATTTCTGATGTTCCACAAAAGAATGACCGTCATTACAGGTATTGAATAATAATAATGAGAGTGAATAAATAATGACTTTTTGGTATGATATTCAACGTTAAATTTAAATGCTTATTGTCAGTTTTTAATACAAAGGCAACTTTATACTAAAACGCACTGACACTGAGATGGATGAACACTACAAACTTTAATGTAAGGTAAGATACTACAACAAATATTACATAAAGCTATTCAATAGTACCGATATGATGTTCTGGGTCTGAGCGGCCCGTCACAGAAATGTGTTCCATGCTGGATAGATTCTGGATCCCATTTGCAAGCTCCCCCCAAACGTTTCATTCCTCTTCCGAGGTTTATCTCAAAAACACGGATCTTGCTATCAGATCTCTCGGCACACAGGCTGTGAAAGTAGCCAGTCTGGTATGCTTTGATGGAGTGGTTTTGTCTGTAGTCCAGATAAGATGGCAAAGGATGTCTTTGCTCTGGCAGGACATTATCAACATCTGTAAATAAAATGAAATGAGACTGGATTCAGTTCTTAGAGAAGCGTCTTAAGAGACAAACGGCGATAATATTGCCATAAATTCTAACTCAAGTAAAGAAACTGAAATTACAATGACTGGTACCATTTGACTCAGTGACGATTACTGTGAAGAAACGAATAGCCCCATTAGCATCACTGAACCAGCTGCAGTTGAACTTAAACAGAATGGTGAAATGGGTGATGACTGTGGACTGCTCACTGACCCGTACTGTCACCGGTGGGACAGGGGGCCCTGAAAAACAAATATCTCTTGAGAGTAGGGTATATCTAAATTATATATTAGAAGTATTGTTTATATAATTGGTCAGTTAAAAGCTGGAATACACTTCACAACTCTCAAATATGGAACAGATTTTTAAAACACTTGGCATCATACACCTGCTGACTTTGTAAATGGTTAAAGAGAAAAACTAGGCATCATACACTAAATGACTGAAGATCACACAGTACTAGACTTTTTAAATGGTTCCAAAAGCAACAAACTCAAAAAGAAATGTTGCTAGGAGATGCATGACAGATGAAAACAATATGCATTCTAAAATTGGCTCAAAATATCAAACATGATTTAGTCTTCGATTGATGGAAAAATCTGTTCAAAAGTTGTATAGCATATTTACATGTAATTCTTTTTTTTTTTCAAAAAAGTTTGTAATCTAGAAAAAGCTAGGTCACACTTGCTATTAACAAACCATTAAGTATGACTAATTTGCTGCTTATTAATAGTTAGTAAGGTAGTTGTTAAGTTTAGGTATTTGGTAGAATTGGGCATGTAGAACATGGTCATGCAGAATATGTGCTTTATAAGTACTAATAAACAGCCAATATGTTAATAATAGGCATGCTAATAAGCAACTAGTTAATAGTGAGAATTGGTCTCTATACTAAAGTGTTACTGTCAGCCCTGTGTTCCTGTGTCTTGTCTTTTGCTCCCCATGTGCTCCCCATTACCCAGTTTCTCCCTTGTTTATTATGTTCATTGATGTCACATGTTCCTCGTTTAGTTCCCGGTATTTAAGCCCTGTGTTTTCCTGTGTCCTGGGTCCAGTGTTAAACGTCTACTCCGTGTGTGTTCCCTGTGATTTTGGTTTCATTAAAGACTATTATTGTTCTGGATCTCCTTCGTCTCCTCACAGTAGCAAAACCGTGACAGTTACCAAAAGGTGTTTTTTTTTTGTTTTTGTTTTTTACATGGAGTGGGTCACCCCTTATAATGGCTGCCATGTTGAGATCACATTATGCAGTTATGTAGAGCAACAAAGTGACCAGAAGTCATTAATTGTTTTAGTGAGCGTTGGTGATTTCATGGAGAATGTTATACTGTCACTTACTGTCGATCATAGTGATAATGCTGGTTTTTGTGGTTGGACTCTGCTTGTCTCCAGACAACACTGTGATGTAGATGGTGTAGTTTCTAAAGGGTTCCAGCCTGTCAAATTGCTGCGAGAGAGCATCGTGTTCAAGTGTGTATGTGTACACCGGCATCCTGGACCCTTGTTTGCGGCATTCCACAACATAAGAGTCGAAATCGGACTCTGGGGGTGCCCAGGAGCAGGAGACAGAGGTGGAGCTCAGGGGGAAACAGTGGATGCTTTGAGCTGAATGTGGAGCTATAGAGAAAAGGATTCTGTTATGAACACTTTTGTGAGCAAATATTCCCAAAGTCATTCTCCAATACCTTCACCCTCTCTGCTCCTCCCTGGTGGAATGAGATTACAACCTCTGAGAACGGCTGAGAACATCACATCTTTCAAAAAGCACCTAAAGACACACCTCTTACGCCAGCCTTTAACCACCCCACATGCTTAAACCAATGCTCTTTGACGAATTGCTTGTAAGTCGCTTTGGTAAAAGTTATTTGCTTGTCATGTTTGTGTATCTAAAACCACAATCCAGAGCTCACATAGACATTCGCGTAATTTTCTTCATTATGAACTGAATAAGAAAGCAGAAACAGATAGTGTTCTTCAAATCCCAGGATAGAATGCTTTCAATTCATGCAAAAATGTAGCTAAAATTGGTCCCAATTTTATACCTATCAACACTCAAACCTCCCATAGACTATGGGTGGAAGTCAATCCCGTAAAGAATCATTTTTCAGTACCTAGGAATAAACTGCGTTCATTACCTTAGTTACCAAACTACTAAACATTCCAGTAGAGCTGGGATGGGATTGATTCATCCCAGTGATTTGACACTTTTGATTCTCTTCAGCAAAAACACTCATTCAGATTCATTCTCTGCTTCTTTCGGTTACTCTTTTTTTGTTGGGTATATCATTACACCAGCAGGTGGTGACCAGTGAGTGCTTTCAAGTGAGTGAGTCTTCATAATACAGATAATTCAAACAAATACAGACTTTTTTATTAAAGGGATAGTTCACCCAAAAATGAAAATTCTGTCATTAATTACTCACCCCCATGTCGTTCCAAACCCGTAAGACCTCCGTTCATCTTCAGAACACAAATTAAGATATTTTTGATGAATTCTGAGAGCTCTCTGACCCTCCATAGACAGCAAGGAAACTACCACGGTCAAGGTCCAGAAACGAAGCAAGGACATCGGTAAAATAATCCATGTGACGTCAGTGGTTCAACCGTAATTTTATGAAGCTACGAGAATACTTCTTGTGCGCAAAGAAAACAAAAATAACGACTTTATTCAACAATTTGTCTGGAACGACATGAGGGTGAGTAATTAATGACAGAATTTTAATTTTTGGGTGAACGATCCCTTTAAGGCTAAAAAAATTTTTTTTGTGTGTTTTTTTTTTCATCAGGTTATTCACATACTTCAATACTTTAAGATTTTACTTTAAGATTCATGTAAATATTGTAGGATTCATGTAAAGTGACTGTACTCACGGGTTCTGATGGTGTGGTAAACAGGACTACTGTAGGTCACAGGGCCGTATGTCGTCCCACTGACAGTTCGAAGGCTGATATTATAGAGCCGCCCTGGATAAAGTCCTTCCAGTATACGCTGAGTGGGATGACGTCCAGAAACATTAAGTGTCTCCTGAGGAAACCATGTCACTTCAAAATCATCATAGTCTCCTCTATCTGGAACATGCCACTTTATCTCCACTGAGCCAGAAGAGCTGCTGACAGACACTGATGATGGTGGTGCAGGAACTGTGGTGATATAACGAGTAATTTAGCTTTAAGAACTGTAGTGCATTGGTTGCGCTTTGGTTTTAGTAAAATGTCCAAGCTGCTCTTATCCATTTGATGGAAGGTAATAACTGCCGAGCTCAAATCAGTAAAGCTGACTAAAACTAAATTCAAAATATTATTGTATTGTACTGTATTGTATTGTATTGTATTGTACAAAATAAATATACCAGGCACTATATATCATATATATATAGGCACTATATTTCAAGTCTTCTCAAGGTGTATGATGCTTTAAATGACAAAAGATCCAAATGTATTCACATAAAATGAATCACTGAACAAAAGCTGAGAGCACAGGCATACTGCATACTGTTTCAAATATAGAAATATTTTAAATCTAAATGAAACTGGCCCGTCACTATGGCATTAGATCAGTTATAATGTAAAACATATCTTTAGGGCTGTATGATTTGCAGCAGCACTGACCTGTACGCCCTATTGCAGTCGTAGTGTTGGTCAGATCTTCACTCCAGCTCTGAAGTGTAGCAGAATACAGCCTACCAGCCACCAGCCCGTGAAAGATGACCTGCGTGCTCTCTGGACCCAACCGCTGTTCAAAGCCATCCATAGTGACTGAATATCCAGTAAGTCCCCCAGGACCACGCATCCAGTTCAGAAGAAGACTGTCCATTTGACCCTGATTCTCAACATGGGGGTTTATGACAGAGGCAGGAGCTGTAAAAACAAACAAACAAGACTTTTTTAAACATCCAAACAAAAATTTACATAGAATGTTTTTTTTATTATTATTATTAGCTATTTATTGTTTAATTGTACTGAATACTGAAAATCGGGTTTGGGAGAATTAATTAATTAACTCAGACCACCCCTCATTGATTGAAAATACGAAAACAATGTCATTTCTCATACATATTTTAGCACACGTTTACAGTTTATTTTTCATTCTTTTGCAAATTCCCATTAGTATTACGTTTTACTTTTATGTTCTAATTTTAGTTTTTGTAGTTATTTATTTACAGTAATATCTTTGATATATACTTTCATGGTTTTAACTAATAGGAAACTTTAAACAAAAAGGTAATTACATCATAAAGGTCAAAATGCTCCTAAAATCAAATCCAGGGACAAGTTTTGATTCTTAATAAATAAAGTTTCTGATGAGTGATGCAATATTTTTGGGGACAGCAGGTAATTGTTGTGAAGCATTTTAACTAGGAAATATTACATACTGAATAGAGCTTCAGTATTCACCTGTACGCGCCCATATAGACGACTGACTACTCAGTTTCCCTCTCCTGCTGGTGAACATCATCTTATACAGTGTCCCTGGCAGCAGGTGCATGAAGGACCAGCCCAGAGCATCTTTTCCCAGTGTCCTGTGGGACTGAATTGTCTCAATCTGATCGTACAGATACAGATCAAAATCGTCCACCTGGCCCTCCGGTGCAGTCCAGCAGAATGAAAGTTCAGTGCTGGTGTTGGAGCATATGTGTAGCCCGGTCACTGCTGCTGGACCTGAGGAGATTAGGTGAACAAGTCTTGTAAACTGTCTTGCCATTAAGTCATTCTGGAAAATACTTGAAATCTTTGTTTTTCCTTGATAACTTGGTTGTAAAATCTGTGGAATTCTGCAGAATTTATCTATTTGAAGTAAAATGTATTAAATAGAGCTCAAAGTACTCTTAATGCTAGACAGTAAGATGTGTTATAATTTAGATAAAATAAAAATACCATAAAGTGTTATTTTGCTCAATATTTTTGGATCATGTGAGATTACAAACTCAATTGTGTGGTGAATACACAGTGAAAAACATACTGCAAGAAGTGTGTCTTACTTGTTTGTCCCTCAGCAGTGATGTCCTTGCTTGTGGCAGTGCCACTAAGTGTCTGAACATGTGCTTTATACCAAGTTCCTGGAGTTAAATTTTTAAACAGGTGGTGGTTGTTAGTAGCGGGCACGGAAACGCTGGCGATCACTCTTTCGCTCTCATCTAGTAACTGTAGACTATAACCATTATAAACACCCACAGCTGCCGTCCAGCTCACTAACAGATTGTGTGTGCTGAGTTCATTATCTACCCGCAGGTTGGTGACTGTGGAGGGATCTGAAACACACACAAGCACACATTAGACTGTAGTTTTTTTTTCAAGCTCTTCTTGTCTTCCTGAGACAACATTATTGTATTTCTATCATGACAACTCGCTGAAAATTTTAGCATGGTAATGGATATGACGATGTTAATGTATTTGGTCTTGGCGGAATAGATCTGCTATGCTGCTGCTGCTGAATTGCTGCTGCTGTTGGTTATTGCTGTAGTTGTAGATTATTGCTGCTGCTGCAAGCAAGTACAGGAACTTGTTATTGCCAATGCATACGGCAATACAGTACTGTGAGTATTTAAGACATATTCCTGCTGCACAAATAGCATATAAAATAACCCGTAGCAGATCTATACAGGTGGAGCTGGGGAAGGTGGAGGGTTTCAGAGGAACTCAAATTCATGAAGTATCATATTTCCATTAGAAAATCTAGTTCTGACATGTAAATTACAGATAATATGTGTATTTCATACCTGTTCTGCCACTAGTTGTACTGTTGTTTGTCTGCGTTCCACTGACCGACTGCACAGTAACAGGGTACAGTTGACCAGGTACCAGGTTGTGAAATTCTGTCTGTGTAATGTGTTTAGGAACATGTCTGATGTCCTGGACATGTGTCCCATGAAACAGATACACTGAGTAAAAGTCCAAGTCTCCATCACCAGAGGACCAAGAGGCTCTGAGACTGCTGTCTGCGGTGCCAGCGCCAAGACGGAGATCCTGAACCTGACTGGGTACTGGGTGGCAAAATGGGAAAAAGACACAGCTGTTACACAAAGGATATCATCAAACTGTGATGATAATAATATAAAGATATAAAGATACATTTGGATTCAAATCCTGTCAAGTTCAACATCTAATTCAATGTTACATACAACAGTGTTAAATCTGTTAAAATTTATCACAAGTGATTGAATTATTTTTTTTTAAATAATATTGTACCTCATAAACCACTGCTTGATGCAATGCTAAAATAGTTAGCTTCATTATAAAAATTATATTTAAAGAGGAATTTCAAAAAATATGCCCAGGTTGTTTTTTGCTCGACATTTTGCTCCAAAGTAAATATATATATATATATTTCTTTGAAAACTGTATATATTTAATGGTATATATTGTCTCTAAAAGATCATATTGTTATTACTGAAGTCAGTTCAGTGTTGGTTCTTTTCAGATAGGGCTGCACAATAAATTTTAATTGTGATAATGATTTCTGTTCTGAAATGAGAGAATGTTGATTTCTGCTTCAACATCAAGAAGATCAGGCCCTTTCTTTCGGAACATGCTTCACAACTCCTTGTTCAAGCTCTTGTTCTGCCCAGGCTGGACTATTGCAATGCTCTCTTGGCAGGTTTTCCAGCCAGTTCTATCAAACCTTTACAATTAATCCAGAACGCGGCAGCAAGATTAATTTTTAATGAGCCAAAAAGAATGCATGTCACACCTCTGTTTATCATTTTGCACTGGCTACCAATAGCTGCTCACATAAAATTCAAGGCATTAATGTTTGCCTACAAAACCACCACTGGCTCTGCACCACTTTACCTAAATTCATTACTTCAGACTTACGTGCCATCTAGAAGCTTGCATTCTGCAAGTGAACGTCGCTTTATTGTGCCATCCCAAAGAGGCGCAAAATCACTTTCACTGACTTTTAAATTAAATGTTCCCTCCTGGTGGAATGACCTGCCCAACTGAATCCGAGCAGCTGAGTCCTTAGCCATCTTCAAGAATCGGCTAAAAACACATCTCTTCCATCTTTACTTGACCCTCTAACTCTAGCACTCTCTATTCTAATTCTATTTAAAAATATAAATATACTAGCTTTTCTAATATTTTTGTATTCTATCTGTTTTCTTTTTATTTATTATAT